AGAAGATATTTGAACGTTCAAGTAAATGCCAATTAATTTGGTGGTTTCTTTAAATAGAAAATATCGAATATCAATTTTTGATTCACTGAATCGATTCCTTTATTGTAATTTCATAAAAGGTATCAGGGCCGCAATTCACGCGGCGTAGATATTATATCGGCTTCGAGATAATATCGAAAGTAGGGATATCTATTGAAAATATCTACTTATGGCGAAAAATGCTATTCTTGTGGATTTTCGATATTCCAATGATATTATATCTATGGTAGACATTCGTTCACTGACGAATGCGTTCCATTTTTCTCGATTAAGTTAACATCACAGTCAATACAAAATTATAATAAATTGAAATAGTATTTTACTAGCAAAAAATATATTTTTTATATTTTATGAATGGCGTTCATATTAAATATGAGTATACAACTTTTAAAGTATAATCTCAACATTACCTAAATTGTATGCGTATATAATTTCAACGTTAAGTACAAGGCGGGCCAAAAGAAGTCGTCCGATGTTCTTTGGCTCTCTTTTCGTTGAAGACGATAATGAAGACCAGTTTGAAATTTACCAGCAGCCAGAAGACGACGATGAAGAGGAAGAAGATGATTAAAATTATAAATTGTAGTTTGTGTACCCTTTATTCCATTTATTTACTTTTAATAAAAAAAAATGTATTGAATGATAGTTTTTAATAAAAAGATAAATTCATAATTTATTTGTTTTTTTTTATCATGTAAGAAGTTATAAATATTAATTAGGTTTAAATTCAAATATAATTCCTATATTTCATTAACAATTCTGCAATTACGTGGGCAGGTAAGTGTTGTTAAATAAATTAATACTGAATAAAAAGTGGATAGGTTAGGAAAAAATGATAAAATATAATATAATAGTTAATAAAAATTGACAAATATTTATAATCATTGATTTATCGATAGTTCATCAACTATATATGGCGCGTTTTTGACCGGAGGCACCGGTTGACCTGAAGTGATGCTGTGACCGCGCGCTCTCCGCCCTCTATCTCGAAAACGGTTCACCGTATGAATAATTTTTTCAAACAAAATTTGTAGAGAATTTTGTATACTACAATATTGATAATAAATACAAATAGCAAAAAACCCATAGGAAATGAGATATTTACAAAAAAAGCGCAAAAAACCGATTTTTGTGACCTTTGACCTTGAAATTTAATAGTTGCGTACACCCTACCATATGTAGGTTTTGAGACAACTTTTAGGGTGTCAATATACAAGTATTTACAGACTTACAGCTGGGTATCTCGAATTCCGAGATTCTTACCTAATTTAAGCTTAAATGACTGGACTAGTGATTTCTTTTGGCCCACATCTTTAGGTAGCAATAATTGGCAATGACATACTACAACACAGAATAATAATAATATAAATAATAATAAAATAACTTTATTTCTCACCACAAATGACAAAAAAGGTTTACACAAAATCTTAGGCGAATTTTATAATCATGTCGTCATTCGTGGGAGACTGGTGCCCGTGTAGGTTCATAGACCCGTGTTACAGGTCACCAGGCCCCCATTGTTTACAGAAAACATTACACCTAGACAATGATACTCTAAGGGTTTGTAAGGTAAGCATCGACTAATTATGGGCAGTTTGTGTGTATATGAGAGTGTGTGTATGTAGGTATGCGTGTGAGTATGAGTGTGTGTGTGAGTATGAGTGTGTGTGTGTGTGTGTGTGTGTGTGTGTGTGTGTGTGTGTGTGTCTGTGTGTGTGTGTGTGTGTGTGTGTGTGTGCGTGTGTATGTGGGGGGGGGGGGAGTAAATATTATTGTATTATGATAAAATCTGCAACAATTGTTCAGTTTCTATATAAGTAAGTGCTTGTAGGTATTTTACAAGTTTTCTCTTACACGACCACGAACCACCTCTATAGAAATCTAATTTTCTATTGAGTTTGTTGTAAAGAAAGGGTCCCAAGAAAGGCAAAAATCTCTTAGAAAAAGCTGTTTTGCAGACAACTGTGCCAGCAACAAAATAGCTACGGTGACGTTTATTGGAATCAGATGAGACTTTTGTCACTTTGTGCTGTCTTAAGACAATATGCAAGATGAAGAGTTGACGGACCGTGAGAACGCCACTGAGTCTGTATAAATCTATGGTGGGGTAGAGATAAGGTTTAGAGTGGATGACTTTTAAAAGACACCTCTGCGTCCGCTCCAATTCGATAAGACAGGTCTTAGCTGTACCACCCCAAACCTCAATCCCGTACGTTATCAATGATTGGCACAGGGCATAATAAGCCATCTTAAGAGTATCCCTATCAGCAGCATGGCGTAATTTTTTAAAAACGAATATTAATTTACGTATTCTGCCACATAGAGACTGTACGTGAGAGTAGAAAGTTAAATTGCTGTCGAAGAGTATGCCGAGATATTTAATACTTTCTGCTCTCTCCAAGACATGGCAGGAGCACCGAATATTGTTGGGACTATCGCAGGAATGAGCTCTAATTTTATACATGTCTCCACAAGGTAGAGTAGAGTTCTTTATTGCAAAGGTCATGTATTTAGTCTTTTCACAATTTAGTGTGAGTAAGTTTTGACGAAGCCAATCACAGACAATATTAAGACCCATCTGGGACTGTGAAAACACATCTTCCCAGGTATCGCCAGTAAAGAGAAGAGCCGCATCATCAGCAAAAGTGACTATTTTGCCCCTCGGAAGCCTTAGATTACACAACTCATTTATCAAAACAAGAAAGAGGGTCGGACCGGCTATGCTCCCCTGTGGAACGCCGCAAGTGATGGTTAAATCGGAACTGATAATCTCATTTGACAATTTAACACATTGGTGTCGATCGTGTAAGTAGCTAGTAAACAAGGAGAGTTGTTTTCCTCGTATACCAATGTTTTCAAGCTTTTTTAACAGTAGAGGTATGGAAACTGTGTCAAATGCTTTCCGCAAATCGAGAAAGACGACCAAGCTTTTTTTGCCCTGATCCAGGCTCTGCGTTACAAAGTTAGTAACTGCCAAAAGCGCATCTGTTGTAGATTTTTTTGCACGAAATCCAAACTGTGAATCCGACAGTATGCAATTCTGTTCAAGATAGTTCATAAGTCGCATGTTAAGGAGTTTCTCAAAAACTTTTGAGATCGAAGATAAGATCGATATGGGACGATAGTTATTAGGCTGACTACGATTACCACTCTTATAGATAGGTTGCACTACCGCCCGTTTTAAAACTCTTGGAAAGATACCTGCGGCAAAACACGAGTTTATTATGTTAGTTAAAGGAGGCACAAGCAGACATCGATACTTTTTTAGTAAGCCTGCGGAGATACCGTCCCATCCAACAGCTTTATCAGACTTTAGGGATAGAATAATTGTTTCAACCTCACCCTCGTCTGTGTCCAGCATCACAAATGATTTGTTTTTAAGTTTATGAGGTACAACAGTTGATATGGCGCTGGCATCAAAGCTTGGGCGGGCAATTTTTTCAGCTAGACGTTTGCCAATATCGATGAAGAAAGAATTAACCTTATTAGCAGAGTCTAATGGAGATGAACACAAATGCAATAAATCGTGGGATGGCCCTTTTTTAGGGCAATAGTTGGTAATGTCTCTTATTGCATTCCAAACACGCTTTGGATTTTTTCCAGCCTTAGCAAATTCCCGCCTTTCATAATCACGCTTGACTTTCTTTAACAACAAATTACAAAAATTCCTGTAGCGTTTATAAGAAATAGTAAGAACCTCGCTACTTGGACATTTTCTTAGTTTACGGTATAGGTTATCTCTTTGACGCAAACATTTGAGGAGACCCGGGGTCATCCACGGGTTGATAATTTGGCGCCTACGAGATGAGGTGTAAGTCGAGGTAGCATTTTTTAGGCAATCACGGATGGTGTTAATAAAATATTCCATAGCGTAGTCCGGATTAGTATGTTGATAGATCTTTCCAAAATCGAAACTTGACAGACTTGCACTTAACTTTTCTTCATCGATTCTATTTATTTGAAGAGATGAGTTGCTTTGCACTTTTTTAGAAAGAGTGACCATTACAGCAAAGTGGTCTGTGACTGTGGCCTCAACAACAATAGTGAACGCTTGGAGACTGGTTTTGAGTAATACGTGGTCCAAACAAGTACGGTTATGGGTAGGTAATGTATGAGATGGGAGGAAACCTAGTTGGGCCATTAAATTGAGATATTCGGTTGAGTTTACATCGGTATTTGAGGAAGATATATCTATGTTGATATCACCGAGTAAGATCACATTTTGGAAGGAAGTCAGGTCACAAAGCAATGCATACAGTGATCGAAAAAAAGAGTCAACCCGATTACGGAAAGCGTCAGGTCGATAGATCGCCAAAACCGCAGTATCCTTTCCAATTTTGATCAAAAGAGAACTGGCATCCTTCAGTGGAGGTTCCTCCACCGATATTTTATCAATATTATTCTTAAAATAGACAACAACACCATCATTCTGGTTATACGGGTTGGTGGATGATACATGTATGTATCCCTGTAGAGAGGGAATATAGTTATTATATTGTAACCAACATTCAGTTAGTACCATTATATCAAAGTCTATGTTAATTCGTGCTAGTAACGTCTGGAAACTGGCGAGGTTTGCATTCACACTACGTATATTTTGGCAAATTATATTTAGTTTAGTGGATCCAAAGTTGGCTAATAATTGCTCACAGTTTTCTGGGAGGCTTGTGGTAGCCTCAGAAGATGACATTACATCCAGTGTCATACTTATGTCAGATAACGAATTGAATTTTATTATATAAGAAAAACAAAGCTCGTAGAACGAAGCAAGTACCTATTCAGTTTAGTTATACGATAGTTCGAGGGATTTTTGCTCATAGCAAATGTATTACAATGACTATGAGCAAATTTGCAATGTGAATAGCACAACATTACCTTTATAAATGACAAAATAATAGTGTGTATTAGTGATATACAGCCAAAACCAAGCTGTGTTTTGTTCCACGATACGGCTGTTGCTATTGATCTATATATTCTTATATTTATTATACATTTTAAAACAGAAACTTGACATTTATGCAGAATGTTATAAGTGTAGTATGTATGCTGTTTGGTTGTAGTGTTCTTGTCGTGTATTGTGGATAAGTAATTGGTGTGTTTGTATGTGTAAATTGAGATATATGCACAAAAAGATATTATTAATATTTTATGGGAAAAAGTAATCAAAATTAAAATTAAACAAGGAAAGATAAATCTAAACAATATAACAATGTTTCGAGAGCCATGCAAATACAGTCACAAAGTAGACAATCTGCCAATGTCTTCCTGGCTTTTGATTACGATAGGTTTGTCCCGCTCTGTTTTTTTCAGATATATTCTTCCTGCAGTTGTCCAGCAATAGTCGTAATTATTTTCCTTGCCGAATATCCTGGCTGAAGCATATAGGTGTCTCACTTTTTGGGGAAGATTTTCCGAAAGGAAAATGGGTACAGCCGGACCGGCGATTGCTATATCGGCCGAATTTAGTTTTTTGTCCTTATTTAATCGGTTATGTTTTTTTGAATGCGTGATAATTCTCTCTTTGGTTAAAATGCTCGTAAAATCGGCTATTATAGGTTTATTTTTATCGTTTTTCGTGTTGATGCGAAAAATATCCCTTACATCAGACTGTTGTATCGTTGTTCCTATTACTTCACCTGTTTTGAGCAGGATATTAACCAAATCTTCTTTAGTTTCCCCCTCTTTTTTCGGAACATTACGTAATTCAATACGAGAAGTATACGACAGTCTTTCGAATCCATCAATTTTATCCTCCAGTGTTTGAATACGTTTTTTATACATTTTGTTCTCCTCCTGTAGATTTTGTACATGCAACATTAAGTTATCGTATTTTTCCGACATAAACTTGATTGATTCCCTTATATCATCATTTTGTTGCTTGATATTGCTAACACATTCTAATATATTTGACAGTTTAGTATCCTGTTCGCGTTTTTGTGTTATAAACATGTTAGTGAATTTATCTTGCATTGATAAAAATTCGTCCGGTAAGTCACTGCAATACTTTCTCTTACGAAAAGCCGCCGTGTTATCACTTGACAAGGCTAAATTTGGTTCAGAGTCCGAGTGTTGCATAGTTAATCCAAGAGATGGTGGTGGATTTTTTAACGGTGATCGATCCAGTGGCATGTTTATAGTTAATACAAATGCACAGTACCAGGCGAGCATAAGCTGTAGCAGATCGAATGCAGCGACCGTGGTCAGCCGGTTTTGCAAGCGATAGCTAATTGGCAACGAGCACGACGAGTAAGACGTACCTCGCGTTGATCACAAGCACTGGTGATTGGTGCACAGCGCGACGCCTCTGGAGGCGGAGTGTGGAGAGCGGTGGGCGGCGTACGATGGGCGGTGTTGAAGTTGCAGATGCGTCAGCGCGTCGGCTCCGGTCGGGATAAGCTCCTTGTACTTATGCACTCCGAATTTTTGTGTTTTATTATTAAGTTATTGGAATTTGTTTTTAAGTTTTAATTAATATTAGAAATAGGGGACTATGTTAAACACGTCTGAACTCCTCAGAGATCCGGGAGGGAGGGGGAAGGGGGAGAATAAATAATAGGTAAAAAAAGTGAAAATGACAAGATTTACAAGCCAAGATCCATAGATATTTATAGATCGAAGGCTCTTTACCAGTCGATATATGTCCACTGATTTTCCGTAGATAAATATCTATTGCGACATGGTGAGAGAGAATAGGGCAAAATGGTTTTCCATCGATAAAAGCCAGTTCATTCGATATACCAGACCACTCCGAAAGTTTGGCAAAAGAATTTTTTTATGTATAAGACACTGGCCACTTGTATTATTTTGAAAACTTCGATTATTTAATTGTCTCATTAAAAAATGGATCTGCATCGAGAACATTATCGTGCTATGATTTTTTACGATTCTAAATGTGACTTAAAATCTGATAAGTTAGTTGATCGATTTCGAACTGCTTTTATCGATGAAGGACCTTCACCAGCAACCATCTACCGATGCCGCCGTCTTACTTTGGGGAATGAACAAAGGAGTGGTCGTCCTACGACGGCTGTCACCGAAGAAAGTGAATGACGAATTACGTAAGAAGAGATTCAGCATACTCTGCAGATTGGTTCAGGAAGTGTTCACAAGATTTTGCACGAGCACTTTTACGTTAGGAGGATAGTTTCCCGCTGCGTGCCGCGCAACCTCACCGAAGCTCAAAAGCAGGCCCGTGTGGATTGGTGCAGTGATATGATACAAAAATTTGATGCAGGCTCGTCACGGCGCGTTTACGATATTGTGACAGGTGACGAATCCAGGATTTATCATTTAGATCCAGAAACAAAGCGTCAGGCGACTGTTTGGCTGTTTTAAAATGAACCAACGCATACGAAAGTGAAGCGATCGCAAGCGAAGGTGCGCAGGGAAAATTTTGATCGCTAGTTTCTGCACTTTGATGAGGTACCTAATTTCAATTCAACTTCGAGACCAAAGCAGCATCAACGCCGAATGGTATAGCACAAAATACCTGCCAGAAGCTTTTTCTGCAATAAGCAACAAGCGACCTAACACCGGGCTCCACAGGGTCCTTCTTCACCACGACAACGTGCCCGCGCACTCATCGATAAAAACGAAGTACTTCCTGGACTCCACACCAGTCAGAGTCTTGGGACACCCTCCTTAGAGTCCTGATTTGGCTCCATGTGACTTTTTTTTATACCCTATGATAAAAAATCAGCTCAAATAGATACAGTTTTCATCGCCGGAAGAAGCGCTAGCAAACTTTTCAATTTGATCCAGTAGTTCCTGAGATTAGCGCGTTCAACCAAACAAACAAACTCTTCAGCGTTATATTATTTATTTACACTTATATAATATACAAGCAAATAATTATTAAAAATAATTTCCTACGTGCTCCAGCTTAGACATTGTGGACATGATGAAACGCACTTAAATCCATATAAATATTATATTATAAATGCGAAAGTGTGTCTGTTTGTTACCGCTTCACGCTTAAACCACTGAACCTTATAATACCATTCAATTGAGGCGTGAAGAAGCATTTTTTCAGGCCGGCAAGGTGAGGATGGTTGGTGTAGCAGTTTTTAACTGCTGTACAAGCTATCTTCGCGTTTGGACTTTATCACCACTTAACATCAGGTGGGGAAGTCATTTGCCTACCTCGCTATAAAAAAAAAGAACCTTTCTATCTACTATATATATATATATATATATATATATATGGTATATACTTTGTGTCCTTGAACATATGATAGATTTTATTCCAAAATCATCCTTTAAGGGGATGAAAATGGTGGTGGAAGTTTTTGTATGGAAAATCAATTGACTACGCAGACGAGGTGGCGGGCACCTTCTAGTGTTTAATTTAAAAGAGTATAGGACAACTTAGTCTTTAATTTAAAAACGTATACGATTTTTTTTTCCACCCAGAGGCATGACTTCGCACTCGGGAGGCGGAGTGGGGCGCATCCTATGCAGTTGCCTATATACTTCGCGCAAGAGGTACAACGCCTACATCCTACTGCTGTTCACCATCATTCTGACTATCTTTGTCTTCACCGCTGTCAAAAGTAAGTATTTGTATTATTCTTTTTTAGATGTTGTATCAATAATCTAATAGATGTTATTACTGAGAAAGGTATTTGTGGCAACGACTGTTACTTTAATGTTATTTATGTAATATTGTTATTCATTATCAAATTACAAACATACATTATTATTAAATTTTATAAATTATTATACATGACACATTATTACATATTATTGAAAATTATAAATTTTATTTAACAACTAGTGGCCCGCCCTCGCGTCGCTTCGGTGTAGAGCTATAGTGTAAACTATAGTTTTTGTTCTCAGGCTTGTGCTATAAACAATGACTTTATTTATATAATTACACGTGTTATTGTGAGTCAACCATAAAAGATAGACATATGCTATTGCGAAATATTTTTTAGAAAATTTTATGTAGAATATTTCCGTCATACATGATTTCTATGTAACTTTAACCATTAAGGCTGCACACGCGACGGAAGCTTAAAAAATGGAGTAACTTCTCCCGTTTTCCCAACATTTCCCTTCACTACTCTGCTGCTATTGATTATAGCGTGATGAAAAGTATACTATAACCTGCCCAGGAGTATGAAGAATAATTGTACCAAGTTTCGTTAAAATCCGTCGAGTAGTTTTTGTTTCTATAAGGAACATACACACAGACAGACAGACAGACAGACAAAAAATTTACTGATTGCATTTTTGGCATCAGTATCGATCACTAATCACCCCCTGATAGTTATTTTGAAAATATATTTCATGTACAGAATTGACCTCTCTACAGATTTATTATAAGTATATAGAAGATATTACATAAAATAACATTGAAGTTACAGTCGTTGCCACATATTCATCAGCTATAATTCTTAATAAAATACTCCATACATATTGTGTACAAAGCAAGAGATTTATGTAGGAGCTCAACATCCTTTATAAATTTATCAAAATGTTCCTTATTGATAATCAGTTGAGAATAAAAGTATGAAGAAAAAAACCATCAAACTTTAGGATGATTTATCGCTGCAACCACATTTTTATACAAAATTAGCTGCCCCAGCAAACTTCGTGCCTCCCAGTCAATGAATCGCGGACGACATCGTCATCCTGGCTGAAACCCTGCAAGACCTTCAGAAGATGGTGTGCAGCCTGGTTGAATCTTCCAAACGCATCGGTCTCCGGATGAACTTGGATAAAACCAAGGTCATGTTCAATGAGCTCATTGATCCGGGAATGGTTGCTGTTAATGGAGTACCTCTCGAGGTTGTTCAGGAATATGTCTATCTAGGACAAACGTTCCGATTAAGCAGAAACAACTTCGAGAGAGAAGCCAATAGAAGAATTCAGTTGGGCTGGGCAGCATTTCGTAAGCTTCGTCAAGTCCTCTCGTCACCCATCCCTCAATGTCTAAAGTCGAAAGTCTTCGACCAGTGCGTCCTCCCAGTTATGAATAAAGCGCCGAGACGTGGACACTCACAGCTGGACGAGTCCACCAGTTTAAAGTCGCAGAGAGCTATGGAAAGGGCTATGCTCGGAGTATCCCTGAAGAACCGCATCAGAAATGATGTAAGACGACAGAGAACCAACATAGCCCACCGAATTAGCAAACAGAAGTGGCAGTGGGCTGGTCACATTAGCCGCAGAACTGACGGCCGTTGGAGCCGGAAAGTTCTTGAGTGGAGACCACGACGAGAACGGAGCATCGATGAAAGATGTTGCAAAAACGGGTAAAAATATTCGATTTACCGTTGCGTGTGATGGGTAAACGGTTCAAGTTACACAAAAATCATGTATCATAAAGAAGTACGTGAAAGAATATGTCCATCTTTTAAATTTTACTCACTATAACATTTTTCCTTTAATTAACGCTGTGAAACCGCATGGGACCACAGTTGTGAAATAACTGTAATAGTTAGACATATGGTATTGTGGACTTTTTTGTAGATATTAATGTCTTCTATGAAAAATGTAGTACATCATTTTGCTCTATTGTCAATTGCTTCCGTAGCGAATGATATAAGATTATTTTAGGTATTTTTTTCACACGTTGGGTTGCATTATCAAAGTTTCATACAGAAGCCTAACTTTTTAAATTATTCTATAGCCTATGTTCATCAGGGAAAATGTAGGACTTTAAATGTGAAAAAATTCTTCAAATCGGTCCAGTAGTTTCGAAGCCTTTTCAATACAAACAAACGAGACCTCCGTGGCCGAGTGGTTTGTACGCCGGGTTTCATGGCTGTCGCCGACTCGAGAGGTCCCGGGTTCGAATCCCGGTGGGGGCAGATGTTTGTGTGATGAATACGTGCATTTGTACTCCAGTCATGGATGTTTAATATGTATTTATATAAATATACTTATATATGTACAGTATATGTATTCTATCCGTTACCCTAGCATCCCATAACACAAGCCTTATAGTGCTTACTTTGGGGCTAGGCTAATTGGTGTGTCGGAAAAAAGAAAAAAAATACAATTAAATTTTTCCTCTTTATAATATTAGTATATAGTATACTCGTAGATGTAGAAACTATTTTGCAGTACAAAATTAAATAACGTTTGTGCATGCGTGACGTGAACTGTCAATTGTGGAAGATGTCGGAAAACCAAAACTCATTTATTTATTTAAAATGGTTTTCCTGCATAACCTTTTTTCAAGAATTTTTCAATATTTTAATAGTTATTGTGCTACTTGGACCGAAGTCGAACTCCTAAAAAGTAGATCTCATAAAAATCGGTCCAGCATTTCTTGAAATATACGTAGAAGCGTTCTTACTAACACAGCTTTGTTTTATAGAATTCTAGTGGCCCACCCTCGCTTTGGTTTGGTGTAGAGCTGTAGTGTAGACTATAGGTTATACACAATGACCTTCTTCATAATAATAAAATTATAAACCTTCCATTCCAAGTAAAAAAAATGTTGCGTAGTTTAGGACCCGTCGTACCGAATGCAACATTGCTCTGCTGTTCCGATTTAAAAAAATCTTTTTGTATTGGACAGTGCATATTATATCCAGGAAGGCTATAGGCTATATATTAGTATATTACCCGACTACGACCAGTAGCAGCGGAGCATCGATGAAAAATTTTGCAAAAACGGGTAAAATTTGTGAGATTCCGTTGCGTGCGCTGGGTAAACAGTTAAAGTTACACAATAATCATGTATGACGGAATTCTTTCCCTTTAAAAGTTCTGTAAAATAGCCCACGACAGCCTATGTCTATATTTCAAGTTTGACTCTCTATAAACCTTTTTCTTCAAATTAACGCGGGTGAAATCGCAGGGGACCTCTAGTTGTGACATAACTCTAATAGTTAGAGATATGGTATCGCGGACTTTTTTGTAGATATTGGTATCCTCTATAAAACTTTAGTCATAGCACTACATCACTTTGCTCTATTGTCAATGACTACCGCAGCGTACGCGATATAAGGCTATTTTTAGGTATTTTTTTACACACGTTGGGTTACACGAAGTGTTCATACTGTTCATAAATAATTATAAAAAAGTGGCTTCAGACTTTGTCATTTCAGAACCAATACAATATTAAAAAAAAAAGAACAAGCGCAAGACACAATAGAACGTGACGTAAGCAGTATTCGAAAATTTAAATAAATCGAAAATTGAATACCGTAGAATGAAAACCGAGGTTCCCTAAGCGATGCGTGTGGAACTGAATTTTCTTTCATTGAATTTACGTCCTTCAAATCTGTTTATGTAGCTTTTGTAAAATTGTTTTTTCGTTATATAGTGAAAAGCTCTTCCACTGTTTCCTTTTGTTTATTTGTTGTTAATTTTTCTTTTGTATTCTAGATATAAATGCTGATTCATTATATTTACATAGTATTTAATACACCCGTGTGAAGCCGGGACGGGCCGCTAGTCTAATATATAAAATTCTCGTGTCGCGGTGTTTGTGGTTAAACTCCTCCGAAACGGCTTTCCCGATTCTCATGAAATTTTGTGTGCATATTGGGTAGGTCTGAGAATCGGACAACATCTATTTTTTATCCCCCTAAATGTTAAGGGTAATCCACCCCTAATTTTTTTTTCAATTATACATATTTTTTTTAATTTTTTTATTATACATCATATAAAAATACATATAACCCTAAATTTTCACCCTTCTACCACCAACCCCTTTTTTATAGCGGTACGAAGTTCGCTGGGACAGCTAGTCTATATATATAAAACTCAAAGAACTGACTGACATACTGATCTATCAACGCACAGCCCAAACCACTGGACGGATCGGGCTGAAATTTGGCATGCAGGTAGATGTTATGACGTAGGCATCCGCTAAGAAAGGATTTTGATCAATTCTACCCCCAAGGGGATAAAATAGGGAATGAAAGTTTGTATGAAACTTTGTCAATTTTAAACCGATCGGGCTGAGACTTTGCATGCAGGTATAAGATGAATCATAGATGAATATCATTGTGTATAATACAAGCCTGAGAACAAAAACTGTAGTCTACACTTCAGCTCTACACCGAAGCGAAGCGAGGGCGGGCCGCTAGTATGCATATAAAATTTCACGAAAATGGGTCGAGCCGTTTCGGCGTAGTTCAATTACGCACACCGTGACACGAGAAATTTATATATTAGATACTGATAACTGTTAATTATATGTTATTTAAAGTAAAAGTTGTTAAAATAAAACCATTACATTTTGAGTTATCTCTGTCAAGTGACAAAATATATTTTTTATAAAAGACATGACAATTAAAAAAGTTTCTAATACAGCATCCTTCTTCTTTAATAACAAAAAAAAAACTTTTTTTTTATATCAACAGAAAAATATTTATAACACAACACACTCAAAACTTACAATAAAACTATTTATAAGTAAAACCAAATCGATCAGGCGGGCGACTTACACGACCTGATGAAGTTACCAAATATCCATCTGAATTTCTATTCATCAATGGCCTACTTCCGGCCTGCTCTGGTGGTAAATTATTTACACTATGAGGAATGTCAATATCATCCGGAATATAAAAAGGAACAAACGCTAAAGGTT